GACCTGAGAAAACATCGAGGAAGAGGAGGAGGAAGAGGAGGAAGGAGTGAGACCAGTGAACCAGAGGAAACATTTAGATCAGTTTTCTTCTCTCAGCCTGAAACTTTCAAAGCAAACGATGTTTCCAGATGTTCTGCTCTGCCAGCAGCCTGCTAGGGAACTACATTACCCATCAGCCCCTCTGCTGATATCACATCGTTTTATAATGTCTGATACTTCCTGTCTGCTCTCCAGACTGGACCAAACTACGTCTTTATTTCCTTTAATAAACTGTCATTAATAAACTTGTTTTGCATGAAATGTGAAGTTTTAATGAACAGATTCTTGTTGACTGAATCCTCTTTCTGCTTCTTCCCTTGTTTTAAAGAATTAAAGTTTCTCTGCTGGTTTTGCTGGTTTGTGTCTCTGGTTCTCCATCTCTCCTCCTCCTCCTCTTCTTTCCTTCTGTTGTCGTTTAGCGTTTGGATCTGAACTGAACTCTTTCAACGGATCGTGGTGTTGGAGCAGAAGAATGGCTGTGTGTCCGTCGGCCTCCGTCATTCCTTCCTGCCCACGGCTAGCAGGCCGACAGAAACCCTCACAGAACCACAGCGCTGCAAACGGAGCGCTGGGAGGACTGGGACCAGCTACTGGTGACTAAAGCCTGATTCTGGACCCGGCCTCTTCCTGCAGCCTAACGGGTCGTCGGCCCCGGCAACGGAGGATGGACCCGGCTGATAATTGGCCGGGTGGAGCTCTGGTGGGTGTGATGGCGGCTGGATCTGAATCTGCTTCCCACTTCCTGTCTCCCCCGACGCCTCAGGCTGCAGCAGCAGGAAACGACCAGGACGATTCTCTGCTGTGTGTGTGTGTGTGTGTGTGTGTGTGTACCGGTGCATGTTGCCGTTGGTGGTGAAGGTCTGGCCGCAGACGGTGCACTTGTAGGGCCGCTCCCCGCTGTGGACCAGCATGTGCCGGTCCAGAGACGAAGCCGAGCTCAGACACTTTCCACAGATGCTGCAGGAGTGGTCAGTGGCGCCGGCGTCCGCGTTGTGCTGCGGGCAGAGGAGTGTGTGTCAGTGTGTGTCTGTGTGTGTCAGTGTGTGTCAGTGTGTGTCTGTGTGTGTGTCGGTGTGTGTCGGTGTGTGTCGGTGTGTGTGCAGCCTACCTGTCGGATGTGCATGGTGAGCTGGTGCTGCGTCTGGCAGTTCTTGTCACAGAGCGGGCAGATGAAGGCCGAGCCGTCGTCTTTAGAGTCCTGGAAACATCAGAGCAGCGTGAGCCGGACCTACTGGACCTACTGGTTCTGATGGACCTCAGTGGAGGACCCCAGCTACAAGTCCTGACGGTAGGGGACGCGTGCCCCATGAGGACCCGTCCCCTACTGGAGGACAGACGCCTCATTGAGCCGCTGAACTCTGAGGAAACGTTGACCAAACAATCTCTGCAGATTACTGCTCACACACACACACACACACACACACACACACACACACACACACACTCAGCCAGAACTTCCCTTTTCCTGTTGAAGCCACAGGAAGCCCTGACAGCAGCAGGAATGCCCCGCTGCATGATGGGAGAGGGGCGGGGCCTGCATGCCTACCTGGCTGCGGCGGGCGTTGCGGCCGGGCGGCGCCCGCATGGCGGCCGTCAGGGACTTGCTGGGCGACGGGCTGCAGACAGAAGAAGGTTGAGATGCTGAGCGGCTGCAGGGTGGATCCCCTGAAGCTCCAACAGATCAGGAAACGGATCAACTGCGTCAGATTTCTGCTGATTCAGCGATTAAAGGGAAAACATCTGATGGTCGTTTCATCAGATTTTAAATCTACGTTCAAAAACTAATCAGGCAGCAAAATGTCCTGAAAATAAGAGAAAATATTTATTTTATTTTAAAGTCAGAAAGTGTTAATAATTTTATTTAATTTTCTTCTATTATAAATATTAAAGTTAGAATAAACTTCGATTAAAATTTTTTAATAATTTAATTTAATTTAATGTTTAATAATTTAAATATACAAAGTAAAATAAAAATGCAAATATTTATATGAATAAACAATCTATTAAGAAAAATATTAAAATGAATAAAATTAAAATATTTAAATAAACTGAATTGCTGCTGAATATTATTATTGTAAATTATTTTTAATGATTTTCTGTCCGGTAGAACATGGAGGATGAGGCTGGTCTTCATCAGGAGGAGCTCCGGACGTTCCGGACGTTCCGGACGTTCCCATCTCTGACGTTTAACAACCTGCAGGTGTGCAGAAGATCTGGAATCACCTGGGAGACGGTCCAGCTGAGGAGTTGGCCGAGGTGACGCCGCTGCCTCCTTCATCACCTCCTCCTCCATTGATGGTCCCAGCTGCTGACATCACAGCTGACATCATGGCATTGATGGAGGACAGATCTCCTCCTCCTCCTCCTCGCTCTCCGTTCTGAAGCGATTCTCCTTCGCTCGCCGCCTCCTTTGCTCCGTCAGGCGCTCCATTGATCGCTGGTGAGAAACCAGACCGTTACTTCCTGCTGCGCTGCAGACGCCACGACGGCGGCGGCCGGACGCCACGACGGCGGCGGCCGGCGCCACGACGGCACCTCCATCCATCACGGCGTGCGGCTGCCTACCTTTCGGGTTGGTGTGCGCGGCCTGGTCCTGTTGTTCCGCCTCCTCCATGGTGGCCTCGCTGCTGGCTCCGCCCTCCTCCTGCAGCTCCTCTGTGGGGTTCTCCATGACGGCTGGAAGGAGAACAGACAGGAAGTCAGACAGGAAGTCATGCCGCAGTCTGGAAAGCTGCAGCATTCCCAACATTCCCAGGGAAAACCTTCCTGCTGATCAACATTTGTGTGTTTTCTGTCTGGCTCGGCTCTAACCGGACCGGACCAGACCGGGTCAGGCCTCCACACCTGGCTCTACCCAGCAGCAGCTAATTACTGCTTCCTGTTGGGCCGCCCCCACAGGAAGTCGCTGTTCCTCGCACCAACAGGAAGAGGAAGACTGGAGCCGAAGAGGAGACGGTTCTGATCGCCACGCGGTCCAGAACTTCCTGTGATCCAGAACCTCTCCGTCCTTCCCTCCCTCAGCGTCGGGATGGAAATGATCCGATCTGGATCTTTAGTCGAGTTCAGGCCCGCTGAACGCTGGGGAGGTTCTGCTGACCGAACCGGGTTGAATTGGACCCGGTTCTGGTTCTGTTGTGAACTGAACTGGATCAGGATGAATTTGGTTCCAGACCCGGTTCTGACACATCTAATTTCTCTTTGGGATCAATAAAGTATTCTAGAATTTGAATATTTTGTTTATTCTTTGATTATTTAAATGATATTGACAGTAAAAACATCAAACTGATAATTTAGCAGAAACAAATCTGAGGCCATTATGTTCATTCACTTGTTATAACATTAATGATATTTTACACCAAAATCATCAAACCGATACTTTTTAACTATGCTACGCTAACTAGCTTAACCGCTGCTAATTAGCTTCAAACTTTATAAATATCCAATATAAACAACTTCAGCCACATTTAGAGCCCCGGAGGCGTTAAACAGAAAACTTTAGTAACTTTAACTTCCTAAACTTTTCATCAGAGCCCTGCAGAGGACGGTGAGGGGAGCCGAGCAGGTCCAGAACCTCGTTTAAGATCCAGAGCTGCTGCAGGAACCAGAACCACGGCTAAGATGGTAGACTTCATGTTGCTAAAGTGATTTTATGTTTTATGTGCTAAAGAGCCAGAGAAATGCTGTTTGGTTTCAGTTTGGACTGGGTTTGGACTAGGCCAATGTTCTGAAATGGTTCTGCTTTGAAAATGAGCTTAAACCCAAACCGGTGGTTCCGACTCCAGCAGCCGAGGAAATACTCAGAGAGCTGATGTTACTACATCTGTTCCCAGCCGTCAGCTCTCACTGCGACACACACACACACACGCACACACACACACACACACACACACACGCACGTTTGTGTTGCTATCTTTGTGGGGACTT